GCATTATTCTTTATTCATCAATCGATGAATGAAGTAATCCCGTTTTTTTATAGAAAAATGAATTAATCACTGATAGAAGACTTGACTGGAAGAAATCGTATTTTTATTTACGAATTCCAAAACTCTACAGTGTGCTGAGAAAAACTTACAAAAGTCACGTATTCGAATCTCTTTAATTTCATAGCATACATCTCTCGTTTTTGATAATTTTACACGTGAATAATTGTTTGCCGAAATCTATCAAATTTAAAATCCTTCAGTAGTTAGTTGGACTAAAAACCTGAAGTTTTTTGTAATAATAAATATATCCAGTCGTTTCTTTTACCTTGGTCAACCTTAAGCCTAATAAGTAAAAAATCATCTTTATCACAAGATAATCTTTATAGATCCTGGGTTCGGATCTCATGGGGCGGGATCATAAGTGCACACTACCGAGGAGTCTCATACTAGAACGAAACGGCCGTTCAATGCCTTCATGTTTTTCATGGTGGTCTAGCTTCAATCGATTCATAAATTCAATGATTAAATGAGCATTACACTTGTATATTTTATGGCCTAGATTTATCTTTTTAAAATATTATAGTGTAGGGATTGTGGAGATCGTTAAGCTTTTTTATTGAGATCATGAACCGATTGATGTTAGACCACCATTCGAAACCTGGAAGCGCTTCGCGGATTGGTTGAGGTCAGACATTAACAACATTTGATGCTGGCTCAGTGGTCCAGTAGGCTTAACGTTCACGCGCGAGACTGAGGGCCCTGGGTTCGAATCCCGAGAGTGTGACCGTGGATGCGCACTGCTGAAAAGTCCCACAACGGGACGAAACGGCCGTCCAGTGCTTCCAGGTTTTTAATGGTGGTCTAACATCAATCCTCTCACTTTATGTTATGTACATATTCTGTTTATTATTTTCACGGTTTCAAGTGAAGTACAAACTTATGCTAACATTACTTACTAGATATATTTCAATATTACTAGTTTTATCTCACCAATAACCTAGAAGTTAAGCGTTATAACCTGAATAGTGAATTGTCTTAAATTCATGCAAGTACATAATCTTAAGTAATATCAAAATATGCTGGTATAGAATAGATGAAATAAGGATAGCAACGGTATTCAGGATGAAAGTTCCATCCTATTCAAGACCCATTAGCTAATGTTTATTTTTTAAAGTTCAGCACTAAAAATCAATACTTCAAAATTACATAATATTTATTCAAAAATAAACAGATAGCTTCAACTCTAACATTATTAAATAAAAACAAATCAAAGTAAACTCCATCTAATTTTGTTACAAAATGTAGTGATTGATGGTTGTGTGAAATTGTTACTGTGACTAAAAGGAATGGGATTCCGTCAAATATGTATTGAAATTTTAGGTTTATTCACAGATTTTATTATTTAATCAATAGTGAAGCCTTTTTTACTGTTCTCTATTATCTTTTATCTGCGTAGCAAACAGAGATCCTGTCATATTTTCAATATATATATATATATATATATATATATATATATATATATATATATATATATATAATACATCAGAAACTGGGTGAGGTATTTTGTAGAAAATTTATTTGAACGTAATTGGGATCAATACTGTGATACATAACATAATGTTTTGGCATCCAATATATAATAGAATTATCAATATTTATATCATATGAACTTGATACTTATGCTGAAATTAAAGAATTTCATGGATGAAATTGCATAGAACACTGCTCTGTTAACGGTTGTTTAAATTTTTTTGAAACATCAGATCTTAGTTATTTCGAGGCATCTCAAATGTTTTACTGGATTTTTTGCAAATTGCTTTCAATTTCAGGTTCTTTTGAAAAAATTTCTCACTGATGAATAATTCTGGTGTTTTATTTCTTAGCCTAATGAACTGAAGCGTTAACATACCAGTTGAATACAATCTAAAAATTTTGCGATAAAATATGGCTAAAATATGGTTTTCACTAAATATCTGTGTACTGAATACTTGCTATTCTAAAACAACAATAAATCAAAATTTCGATTATAATGACTAAAATTGATCACAGAATTCTTTCCACCAGTTTTCAGAATTGTCTAGTTTATTAGCTGAGTTGTAGTAGTGCCATTTTAAAAATGTTTCTTTCATGAACTTGCTCCCTTTGAGATTTCGATTAGACACTGAATTAATAAAACTTCTCGCTAACATAAAAATCACATCGGAAAAGGATGATTCTTTAATCAATTTCAATTTTTTTAACAAGGTTACATTTTACAGGTACAAATAACAAGCCGAAAATTGAAGAATTAACTTCCGTCTTTCTTGTGAAATTTGATTATAATAATGATTATGTTTATGAGAGAATTAGCATAATATCACTGAATTAAAATGTTACACAGTACTTAAAATAATGACTATAATCTTATTGTAAGAAAATTAGAATTGGAAACATCTTTCGATTTGATGTTATTTTACACGATATATTGTGGGTGTCTGTGTTTAAGACTGTTTTATTTATGACAGTACTTTATTTAACGAATTCAAATCTCATTATTTTAATTTCACACTATTCTTTATCTTGTGTTTTTCAAAGAAATCTTCGGGACAAACCTGGGATTATGAAATCATCCAATAATTGGGAACAAATTAATCCGAAATTTGGACTTGTAATCCCAATAATTAAAATTTTCCGACTAGTGGATTACCTCTTGACAAAATATTAACGAGATTAGCAAGTTGCATAATACTGATGAGTTTGAGTGACCTTAGATAAATAATGATTTAAAGAAAAGACTCATGTTCTGAATTATTAAAATACGTGGTCGACAGGATATTGTTTTAATCAATATTAATTGTAGATGCTTTATTCTTGCAAAATTCAACAGCTATTTCAAGTTGGTATTTATTGAATAGCTAGTAAACGTCTTATTATTTAAAGACATTGAATATAGTATCATCTGAGGCGGTTATATGCTATGAAAGCGCCTAAAATCAATCAACTAGTTTTTCGATGTATTTCCTCTCATATTATTTAGACTCATTTTCTTTTTTTTCTGTCTGAACCACCATAGACTGACATTTTTTGGTTCCATGACTGCTGGATCAAAGTAGACCATATTTGTAATTTCCCTATGTTCTTAAATAGCGTAAAAGTAAGCTAGTAATGAATTACATTCTGCCATCTTTGGATATTCTGAGTTAACCTTTCTGGTAAATAATTTTATACAGTTCAGATAATTTCAATAAATACAGTATTGATAAGTTTTTATCTTTTAAGTAACAACGAAATATTGAAGTTAACTGCATGTGTTAAAAAAATTGATAATTTATTTTAGACTGATCAACATCATCATATAACCCCCTTTTCAAAGTCTGAATCACAACTACACGGGATAAAAAGAATATGTCTATTTACATTATCATTACAACCTTCTGTTTCATATTTGAATCCGTTTTTCTTACCCATGAACATTAAATCAAAGATTGTAAATCAATAAGAAAAATATAGTTCGATCATGTGAAAATCTCTGCGATAATCAACTGTACTTATTATCTACAACGTCACATAAACTTTTAACAATCTTTAACACAGTATAGTAGACCTAACTTTATTTTAATTTACTATCTATGTAGTATTTTTATAATGATCACGCTTTAGTCTATAAAAGTATTTTAAACTGGTTATCTATTTGACGTTATAAATTACTTTCTTTGAAAGAATATTTTTTCAGAAATATTATGTCTTACCTAATAAATTGGATAGATTGAATTAAATAACTACAATTTTCATAAATATTCGTTTAAATATACAAACTATTCGGAACTTATATATTCAGTCATAGCCGATGAATTTAAAATGAAGCAATTTAAATCAGATACAAGTTAATCAATTCAATGTATAATTAAATGTAGATAAACGAACTTCAACAATTCGTTTAGTATGAGAAGTTGTTTGTTTTTCTTCCTCGAAATTTACTCACTGATATTGTCTTAAACATTTTTCCGAAGGGAAAGACATTCTTGTTATAAAATAGAAGTATAAACCGCTACAGATTCATAGTTTCATGAGATTATCAATTAATTTATTACATATTTTGCTAAATTGTTTTTTAGGTAGCTTACTCTTTTATACATTTATGAGAGTGAAACAATAAACCAAGGAAATAAGAATGAGAATAATCACTGATAGTATAAAAAAACTGTGAAAAATACTAAGTTATTTTCTGGTTTCTTTTTAATTAGTTCTAATGTTCAGTTGCCCTTTACGTAAAAGATTATAAACTCAGCTGACTGTTTATGCAATTGTCGAGACGGAATTTTAAGCCTTTACACAGATACACCAGTTATTGGAATAATTTTATTCCTTTCACTAGTTTTTATTGTAAAAGCATTAAATACTTCGAAGTATATCATTCCTAACCCACTAACCTCAGGTTATATAAAGCAAAACCAGCTGAACATTCTATTAATAAACCCATATACTAGTTGATCCTTCTGTTTAGCTTGCCCTGAGCTCAGGTGTGGTTTTGAATGAAATTCACTATTACATCACAGATATTATATACGATGTTAAGTTTATCTACTTCAGAAATCCCTTAAAAATGGAGGATATTTCAAAGCGATAAGTTATGCTTAAGAAGCCTCACAAAGGATAAATTGTTTTTTATTATGAAAATAGTTTTCATTAAAAACAATGGTTAGCTGAATAACCATAAAGAACTAGAAAGCTGTTTTGTCCTAGTTTAGGACCATTTTATTCATCAGAACACTTTGAAAGATTAGAACCTAAGATCCTTAAGTTTCAATTCAAAAACAATACCCTCTGACCACTGAATCCAAACTCTATGAACTATATATTTATACCCGGACAATTTGTAATGACGTGACAATGACGCCTTATTATCAGTGATTTATTATCTCACTTTTGACTTGGTTTACATGCAATTCTATATATATATATATATATATATATATATATATATATATATATATGCATCAAATTATCTAGTGAAACAAAATAAAATATCATTGTACCTTTATTATGTTCTTATTTCTATATCTTAGCAGTTTATATCAACTGATATTACGACTAAGCTTGAGAGAGGGAAATATTACAAGTTACTTTGAAAATCGTTTTAAAAATTACTTTTTCAAAAAGAACACAAAAGTGCAGCTATGTACATTAGAGATTATTCTCAAATAGTTTTGTAAATCATATTAACAAACTAGTTTAAAAAATAGATGGCAACTAGAAACTTCCATTGTTTTAATGAATTAAAAGTTTTATTTGATGTTATATTTTAAGTATGAGGACAAAAGGGAATGTTACTGCTTCAAAATAAATTAATAAAATTCGTCAAAATGAAATATTTTCATTACATAAAAAAGGGAGTGAGAATATTTTTGTGTAACAAAAATATATCGTATCAAGAAATGAAACAAAGTAAATAAAATTTCTTTCATCATAATTCGAGCAAGAGGATTTACATAACGGTATTGAATCTATATACACTGTTGTTCAATTATATTTTAATAATAATTATATATTTTCTCTTGCATTCCAATGAATAAAAGGATTGTATTTCTGACATTTCGTGACTTAATGTAAGCCATTTCTTCAGAGTAAATAAATGACTGGAATAAACTAACAAAATTTTATATTGTTTAATGCAAATAATAAGAAAAAACTAGTTTCATAAAGTCTGTCACATGAGTTGTTGGGCAAAAACAAATCAAACAAAACTCTATTGAATTACATTATGATTTAGAAATTTTATGCACAATGAAAATGATTTTTAACTAAAAAATATTTATCTAATTATGGCTAATAAACTTAGACAACAAAAACAGAAATGGTTAGTAACTATCTATTTCATTTTTGAGGAAACTGAATAGATCAGCCAGAGAGTCATCAAATACCATACCTTGATCGTTTGTTTCAGATTGTTTAACATTGAATAAAACAGCCTAATTGATTTTCGGTTCCAAACATCCTAAGTAGTTATTTTCATGAGGAAATACATTTTTTCATTGAAAAATTATGTAAACAAACGTAAGCAAGGAGTAAAATGTTAGCATGAAACTGGTTCAGTCTGTTGACTTGTTTATGCGTTCAATTCAAGACATCCACATGAAAGACTGTCGTATTCTATGCATTATTCAAAGACTTGTTCATTTACCCATTACATTCATTCAAAAATAAATATGTTTATAATTCAGCTGAACAAAATAAAGCTGATCCTTTGGATCATTGTTGTTATTTCAATACCGAAGAGAGGAATAATGAGTTATGATATTGAATTCATATAGGCGTAAGAGTTGATTTTAAAGTTTGAATTATGACACTGTTATTCTTGTCCTCAATTCACTGAACTTTGGAGTTCACGTTTTAGACACTTTCGAAACATCCTTGTGTATTGATTATGCTTAGAAGTACGCTGTATAAAGCAACATAAACAAAAGAAAATTTGTAATTATTCATTTTCTAGTTGTGTGAACAAACTTACTAAAATGACTTTCTAGTTAATGTTCCATATATTAAAGGCTTTTCAATGGTACATTTTTTATTATTCACGGACTCCAAAAAGCGTGCGCGTGTTACACAATTAGTATGATGCTTCCTAAAAATGAGGTTCAGGTTGACTAACTATTACTTACATAAACTACGTAATATGGTTTCAATTTATTCTACACTAAGATGAACCTTTTACCCAGAAGGAAACCAGATTGTTTTATTTTGTGTTGAAGCACTCTTACAATAAAGTTGCTTGTTTCGCGAAAACCAATCAGATATGTTTTTGTACTGTTAGTTTGTAAAAACAGATCAAATGTTTTGCTGCGATATTTTGTTCAGATCTCCCAGAGAACATTTCACATACTGCTACTGTCAAACTAAGATGTCGAAAAAAAGTCCCATAAAGCAAATCAAATGTAATCTAAAAAAGTGTAACGCCCATCTAGCATAGCCTACGTGACAGTAGAAGATCTATTATTAGTCTATGCATAATCAGTGAAACTAACTATGTTTTGTTGATAACCTGAAATATTTCAGGTACTCATTTACATTATGTTTGGGTTAACACAATACTTAAACCTTGTAAGGTGAGTTTTCTAGAATTCTGGATAAATAAGATCAATCAGTTCTAGAAATAATAGAACACTTTAATTGTGAACATGTATACAGTTATGTCCCTTTCGGGGTAACCAAAGAATAAATGCTTCACATACTTGCTTCAATTAATTAACCATTACATCAAACAAAATTTTGATCAGAAAATAAGCCAAGGGAAGCTCCTTAGTACCTTCTTAGAGTGAAATATGGCCTAGATGGCATGAAGCTTGTATAAAAATATTTAAATATGCGGCCGTTAGATAAAAAAGTGTAAAACAACGGTTTCTTTCCATTTCCAGCTATTAAAGTGTAAAGCTAAAGCACATAATATTTTATTCATTAGTTTTAAATTGGAACGGAATATATTGTTCGTTTATGAAACCACGGTTATCACATCAAGTTTCTTAAATTTTGCACACGAATTCAGTGAATGTTGTCAGTGACTTGATAAGGATATAGTATTATTCTGATTTCATATGCCATATGAAAACTACTTAATTTTAACATCTACTACTGTTTAAAAACCATAACCACTTCTCTTTCTAAACCGATTATCAGTTAAAAGTTCAACATTATGGCCTATATCAAGGACAAAACATAAATTCCAGGTTGTCAGGATAGATGAGGGCCACTCAGTTTTCATTGTTACTTTGTGTACATTTTATTCGATTCAATAAAATATAAAGTTCTTTTTACGTTACTTTCAATTTATGCAAACTTAATTTCTTGTAATAAATTCAACTGCTTTAATAACTAATATATGAAGTTTTTACTTTAATCGCAAGGCTCAAACCATGGTAATGACACAAAAGTCTAAATGTTTTCAACCGTGCGGCATAATAATAACTCCGCGACAAAATGTAGTTGCTTTTCATGCCTCTAGTAATCAAGTAATTTCCTTTTTAAGAATATATTGCTTACTTAACATATTATAAAACAAGTAAACCTCAGCAAACGATTTCAATATTATTTTCTGTGTTTCTTTAACCTTTCTTACGAAAAAAATGTAAATTTCGAATACATAAAACCCACAAAGTTTTGTCTCCAAAGAAACAAAACACTAAATGAGCAGAGTAATACCTCTTTGTCTAATGACAAGTAGCAAATTAAAAACGTGAAAAGTTTGACAACTTTAATATTATGTTAACATAAAGGAAATACCTTAAGAAGTCAAATGGGTTAGGCGATAAATGTAAAGCTAACGACCAGTTTGTATAACATACCGACAGTCCTCCAGAATGTCTCTCCCGCATGATGTGAATGAATTCATTATAACTAAGACAATTGTCTTCATCACGATCAAATAAGGCAAACAAGACTGTTAAAACATCAGAGCTTAATTCATTACCAATGCACGCTTTAACAGCTCGCTTAAATTCAGCTAGAAAAGATTAAAAATTGAACGTGTATAAAAATAATTAAGAGATTAATAAATTAACCAAAGAAAAACGTATTATAATTGTGGATGTTATGAACATCAAATAAACTTGAGTTAGCCTAGTTAAAGCGTTACCCAAGCCGTCTAGTATAATTCAGCTCTAATCCTACTACTCATATACATCATTTGTTACATCTAGATATATTTAAAAAGAAAGCTCAACTGAAGTTAAATCCATGATGTAAGGGTCGACTTATTTGGGACTTCGTAGTTAATATTAACTGAAATTTGTTCGTTTATCGCCAATCATCGGAGATAGGCCTGCTGAAGGACAGTAAAACTGAGAGTTCCAGGTTAAGGTTTCAAAAAAGTGTAAACTTCTCAAATACATTCGATTTTTACTGAAAATGAGGATTTTGTCACAGATAACCAGCACCAACAGAGATGCCAAAAGAGACAGTCAAATGAATCGAAACAGGTTGAGATCAGATATGATATGACTGCTAGCCCCATAAACCTCATGTTCCAAAACGTGGAAAACTAACCGATTGTAAAATGATTTTAAGCGACACGTCGCAGGTGTTTAAAACTTGAACTCTGCAGTCGTGATCGAAAGTTGTTATTAAGACCAGTGAATTTGGTATATCTGTCATTTTCGTTTATGCCAACACGTGAATGATATCATATTTTGATTTGCATCTCAACGAAAAAATAATGATTAAACTGATAGATATCCCGAAATTATGAATAAGCTCACTACTAAAAATCAATTTTCTAAGATAATAGTACGGACTCATTAATTCAATTTAAATGAATTACTCAGTATTTAGATATTTTGTTGAAAGATTATAAGTCACTTGAAGGTACCTAAAGACAAGATTTTATTCTGAAACAACATTGAATTTCTAGAAAATCATCAACTGGTTATTTTTCAAACCTCATTTGCAGAAAAAGCAAAAACGTGACAAACATACGTAGTGATATAGGTTGGCCTGCAATAGTGTACATTTTTACTGCCAGTGCAAAATCATCCAAACAGTTTAGAAACATGAAGAATTTCTGAAATTCGTTGAAGGAGATTACCTAAAATATAGTTTTAAGTAAAACAAACTGAACGAACTATGTTAGAGGGAACAGCCTTTTCAAGTCGATTTATGAATGCATCATACTCAGAAGTAGACACTGTGGTATAACGAAGAATAATACGAGCGAAATCCACTGGTGTAATTGCAGATGAGCCTGAAGAAAACTCCTGAAATTCAACCTCTAATGCTTCTGTTTGAACATTATGCATGAATCTATTGAAACAAAAATTTACTCTATAAATTTACCTTTTAAATTCCTCAAAGCTCAGGTTATGAGTCTTATTATAGCCAAATAGGTGAGTCATAAGAGTTGTATTATAAGCTTGGTCTGCCGGAAGCAACTATATTTTGAGGTCGTCAAACAAGCTCTTAACTTACTAGATCACATGCCCCTCTATCGGTATCAGGTATATCATCAGTACTTTCTGCGATTATATGGTTCAACTGAAATCATGGTAAGTACATATATGAACATCATCACTAACGATCATGAATTCTCTAGCATCAACAGATCCACTTAAATCCCTATCAAGCATTTTGAATGCTATTTCAAAACCCGAAGAAGATTCTGAAATACATGAACGTTATCAAAAAGTATTTAGACTTGTTAGTATATGCAGCAAGAACAAATATTCCGAAAATGTTATTATCCCATCGTTTTGAAGGTTTCGAAAAAAACGAGATCCATGTTTCTTCTTAGATGCTCTGGTCATTATTTTCTCGATGAATTGCGGTTCATTTTTTATCATCATTTTGACTGATTAGACTTCATAGTATAGGCTAAACAACGATTTACCCTGCTTTTGATCATCAACCAAAGAACGTAGGAAATCTGAAGGGGTCATCAACAAAACGCCGTTAAATCGCAAAGAGGCGAAAGTACGGAACTTTTCTTCTAGCGAAAGATGTCTAATATCAGCCTTTTGAGTCTAATGAAAAAGCTTTATCTAATAGTAGTTTCCTCAAACCTTCATTTTTACATGTTCATAACCATTGACAGTAAAGTAAAATACTCCAGACAAAACAGACCCACATGCAGTTGCTATTATTACACTTCCCACCTTCGTTCTAATGACGGTACCTACAAGCTCACCGATCTTACGGCAATAGCAATGCCACAACAAGCGCATAAGTACCAAAAAACTTCGTAATTGTTCCCAACAACGAACTATCCACTTATTCTGTTTACTTAATTAAAACGTCAGTAAATTTTATACCTGCTAATACTAAATTTCCATGTAAAATTGTGTATCTCCAGTAATTTTTGCATGTTTTCTAAGTGCATCCTTAAACTAATAGGCAGAAGACTGTATAATAAGTTTTGTTTGATAGACCTGACAAGCTTATTTTGTAAATAGTTTTTGTTATTATTTATATTTATTTTGTCAACCTTTCACTGTATGTACATTTGTCATTAAACGACTGTACCTGTTGTTTTAGTCAATGACCTTGAACACACTTTTCCGTTGTGCAACCACATAGCGTGACATACTCTTGCTGGCTAACAAATACACTACTACTCACACATTCCTCGTTCTATCTTCGTTTGTGATTGAGTTAAACGAATTCTAAATCAACTACTATCAATATTTATAGACTGTAATTGGAATATATCACTGGAGAGTTCGTCAACCAGATCGGAATGGCCAAGCATTTATAATTGTGGTTTCTTAGTACCAGACCAAAGCCGAACACACATCAATTTGGTGGACTTAAGTAGAGTCCCAACTTTCTATTGTATTTGTAATAATTAACTTATATATATTAACATTTCTATTGATCTTTATTAACTTTGTTGATACTTTTTGCGTTTATATATCGTCTGGTCCACCACAATATTATTCAATCCTGTTCCTGATAAATAAAGCCTCCTATATTTATAACTATGATGATTGTTCCTCCAAGTGCTATAAATTCACCGTTTAATTCTAGACAATGCTGAAACTTCAAATGACTCTAGTCTCAGTCAAATGCAGCGATTTTATTCGCACCACAAGGGATTTCGGTTTGTCGACAATCCAGTGAGCGAAAGTACCTCTGTGATAAGATGACTCAACAGTTGTCACAATTATAGGCAAAACGCTGGCAGTTATAGCACCCGAAAAAAGGCACTTACTGTGGAGGCAAAGGCATTGTATACCTCCTTCTGAAAAGTGAATTGACTAAAGAGTCTGCAGCTGTAAATAAATCCCTAAAATCAATAGTTCTGTAGGTCTTCGCCTCATCGCATTTGCACCAGATCACGAGGGGCACGCCGTGCTACATATCTACTACAACCGTTGGTCAACTTTGATTGATCACTTTTCCATATATCGGTAGCCCATCAGATATTTCTTCGAACCTCTTCGCTTCTGACTTAACTAGATTGGAACATTTCGATTATAAGGTGTTGTCAAACTCAGAATAGTTGAGACCCTTTAAGTCCTTCGAGTCCTCTTCCAATTCGGATATTGTACAAAAGCCTATTAAATAGTTTGGATTGCGACTTATCAATAGTTAGTTTTGTAACAGCTTAGGCTGGTTGGTTAAGAGTTAACCTCAAATAACTAAGCAGATGCCAAAACAGTATCGTTCAAGCATTCATTAACTTCCTTATCCTGTATAGGCGTTATATTTCCTATTATTAATATTGAATCTTGGGAGTAAACGAAAGCAGCCAAAAGTGTCGTCCACTATGTTCCAGTAACTTGATATATTTTAGATTATTAAGCAGTTACAAAACACCATAATTCGTGATGAATACTGATTGTGTCATCTGTGTCTCAAATTTATGAATGTGTGGCACGCTGATATACTGGTTTCCAACTTGAAGCTAACCGAGTTAATCTCACCGACCACGAGTTTCAGAGCAGACAAATATTTCATTTTGCAGAGAACATCCTTGTCGATTCTCACGTACTAAAATGTCGTATTTATCAAACACGTTCCTTATTCATTGCATGTTCTTTCGCAACAAAAATCTCTTAGCTATACAGCAAGTTAGATGGATTTTTGGATTATTGTATGTCCTTTCACACAATCTGTTATTGTAAAAATTCACATGTTACGTTATGGACGATGCAATACATTATAAACATACATTTTTGTGGCGTTTGTATGAACTAATGATTCTTTTGTACTTGATGACTGCTTGATTTCGAATTCCCAATACAATACCTTTGTTCGTGCACATCTATTACTCCTTGGTCTAAATGCATTATTTCTGGAATTCCTAATTCATACAATAATTCAAATACTCCTAACCATCGCACTCTTCCTGTCCGTCTATGGTGTACATGTTGCAAATTTAAACATTCCAGTCTATCCGATTATACCGTACTTAGGTCGAGAACTCTTTTGGCTTGTGTTTTACAGTCATAATATAGCAAGACAATATCCTTATTTAGACAAAGTTGCATGATGTAGGACTATTTTTTAAGTTGTGATCTTTATAAAACACTGATTGTGACTTTGAAAAGTTCATGGGTCTAGCTAACTTATATTCCCGAAAGACCCTAAAACGCTAAGTATGCGCTTTTGCAACAGAACACCATTTGGAGGAAATGGGTTGAGTATCGTCTGAATTGATGTCTTCGTCCGTTTCTGTATAGGAAAATGTGATGGCCTGATATTTTAGAATGTAATTAATGGATGAACCGCCACGGTTTACCATGACCATTCTTCGTTTCATGGTACCAGAAGAGACGTTTTCTTTGGTTCGGTCTTCTCTACTTTACTAGTCTTCCTGAAAAGTCAGAATATCGTTGTGACATGGTGTTATGTATTGGTGAAAGTAAAGTATGATTGATCGTCGAGCGTAGACAAAATTGCACTTAACCTCCAGGCCATTAAATACTGTGATTTCCTCCATTGTTATTGATTCCTACTTCTAACAGCGACTGCTTGTCACTGTGCTTAAGAAAGCCTTATCTAGTGCTAATGTAATTCCCTATTTAGGATCGTGTGTCCCAGTGTTAATACAACATGACTAGTTTCATTATTGGACTAATAAGTTATCGTCGTAAAACTAGTAGAGAAAAACCTTTAACTACCCATCATAACATAGTATCTTCATTAAAATCACCTGGGCTGTTTATTCCGAGTTTTTGCTCCATTTCGTTATTGAAGCACGGTAGATCGATCAACTTTTAGCTTACGATCCCAAATGATCATAGAACCAAACCCCAAATCAGTCACCAAAGTTTATTTGCAGATTACAAGCGGTAGACAAAATACCGTTCTAATAATAAGTATAACATCTATAAAACAAACCGTCAAATTTTCAGGTTTCGTGATTGAAAACTTCCAGATATCAAACCAAAGAAAAAAGTGAAACCAAACTATCCGAAGTCAAAGACATAAACGAACAAGCCTAGAAGTTGAGTAAAACAAATGCATACAAAAACAGTCAAATTAATTATATTCAATTTAACAGTTTTTAGTCGAATATCTTCAGTTCTCCTATAGAACGAATGCTCAGATTTCCCCAATTGAAAGTATGAAAATACTTAAGTAACATCAAGTCAGGAACACAAATAAGTTTTCAGGATATCATTAGCTCAGAAATATAATGATTGATGTTGGATGTTTGTTCAGTCTTAGTAATTAGATTATTCCATCAACTGTGAACCAAATTGAATTTTGCAGGGCGATGATCATTAAAGAGTTGTAGGTAGATTTAGTGTATTTACTTGTTATTTGTAACTGTTTCAGGGTAATATTTGTTGCTTTCGATCGTGGTTAAGTCCAAATCATGCACCTTAGAAATGAGGTCTGATTATTAGTAAATTATTTACCTATTCTGAACACATCCATAAAATGACAAATAGTGACGTTTACATGCTATGGTTACTAATATTGAACGAATATCATAGGTTTTCATATATCTTGAGACTCAGTGTGCTTATGCGTGCGTTTCTTTCTTACAATCGCTAGGCTTAATTGCCTCGTGTGACCGTTCATATTGTAAAAATGTCCTCTAACCAACCTAGGTGTAAATTTAAAAGTTACTATAGTTTGCTAGGTCAAAATAAACCATTCTTGGCCACTCGGTTTCAAAAATACTTCTGAATCTCTACACTCTCCAAGGTTTGCACATCTTTCTGTAGGGGTTTTACATGGTCTTGTAAATCTGACTGATTGATGCTTCTCGACTAATATAGCTAGTCTATTTTTACGCCATGGCACATTAATCATTTTCAGTTTGAATGGTGGGTTTTATGAAAGATTCTTCACATATGCTCGCAACCATCATCATTGTAAATATCATCTATCCATTCAAACAGTCCCATGTTTTGATCGATTTGTATGCGGCTAGTTCATACTAACTAACTTGTCTGAGAGAAACCAATCCCACCAGCATTGTGGGAAATTGCTTATGGCATAACTTTATTTGATTGTCAAGCCTAAACATCGCTTGTGTCCAGTTTATCATTTCAGTCAATCTGGAGCTCGTCATGTAGCTCACCAACAAAGTACATGCTCATGCGCTTGTCCTCAGCCACCTAATCTTTCTAACGGCTAGGGATACCAAATCAACATTTCGGGAGTTGAAATTATGGTTCTTTTACAGTCTATCCATCACTGTCTGTCTCTACACTTGTGATATTGTATTCATCAACCGGTCCTCATATGTGAACTCTTACTTATCAATTATTAAAATACCTACGCTAAAGTAATTTTCGTAACTGGATTTACTTGACTGCTAATAATAGTTTAATCTAATTCTTTAGTTTGATTTTTCCACTTCAAAATGTTCGTAAACAAGATATAAATCCCTAAATGTTTCAACACTAGAGGCTATAAAATACAGTATTTTAAGCGAAAAGAATATAAGCCAATCGAAAACAAATCAGGCTAAATTTAGTTAGATCATATAGAACTATTCTGCCCTCAAATGCCCTGGTACGACCGAGAGTGAAGAGAATCAGCTCTGCCTCTCGAAATGCTTTCAAATGGCCTCGTTCATACAACCACTGCCAGGGAAGTCCTACTCACTGCCTTCTCGCAGAGGCGGTGTTGTTTGCGAAATTGAGAGAACGAAAAGCGAATGTCCAGCGCTTTAACCGGACTGATGGATACGAAGGGTCCACCTAGGGGAGTTGGAAAACCCTGATTCGAAACCAATGGTGGATATGAGCTCCAGGATCCTGAAGGAACAAATGGCGTATGAACCAATCGTTGATCACCGGCTACCATAGGACTACATCTCCTTACGATTCTCCACTGCCTTGTGGATCAGTCCTTCAGGTCTAAGGCTCCGGGTGTGGCCCACTAAGAAAACCACCTGCTTCGGTTTGGGCACCCGGGCAGTATCACAGCCCTCACACATCAAATGAGATTTGTGTGGCGCATATCTATTTGGTGCCTTCTTGTACCAATATCTATGTGTTCAAATAAATAAATAATAAAATTCGCCGTATAAATCAGTCTTATGCGTTTAAATTTGTAAAATTTGTCTTTGAAACAAATACTAGGGATATATGAGTTTTCTGTTCCTAAATTAAACTTCGCGTCGCAAATACTAAATTTTAAGACTGTTGAATGAGCCAATATACTTCGAATTGATGACCGAAATGTCTAAGCGTTGTGGGTCTACTTGAAAGTAATTGATTGCAATTCCTTAAACGAATAAATATCAATGTATTAAGCATTAAGCTATACGTTGTGCGAAGTACTTTTCTCCTTGGTGCAATGTAGTTAGGGAGAAGTTGAAATCACTATACGTAAGGAAAACTCTAGAGATACATCATAGTGAAACAATGATTTTTATCAGTGCCGTTAAAATACTGCTTCATTGTGTTTTATCTCCTATAAACTAACGTATAATCATACTGTACCATGTTTTTATGACTTGTACTGACAGTTTTGCTGTTTGTAAAGCGGTATTTATTAGCTACAGTAAGGTTCATTGTCAATAACTGACTTCTAGATATCACTATCAATGCTACACTTGGAAAAAACTAGTTAGATCTTTATCAAATCTTAACGAAAAGTTGTTGAATATTGTACCCTCAGTGTAAATAGTTGAATTGCAAAGAAACTAATAAAGATTATAAGTTCTTGACAAATAATTCCATAAAGTCAGACAGTTGCTTCTAAGACATAGTAGAAAGCAAAATTAAGAAAACTCTAAAACACGACGGTTTATTTGTAAAAATTTATTTCATCCAATTTATATATAGCTTATGTGATTCGCTAGGGAAATCACCCACTGAGGTTGCGTACCTGAAGAGACACTATATATGACCTTATACTAATCATAACAGTTCAACCTTTCTTATAAGTACTTGCTTATAAATACTGATTATTATTATTAACGCCATTATTACTAGTAATTAATAGCTATGTTATTATTTATATGGTCAAATCACTTTGCTTTTAATCACAAGGTCTCAGGCTCAAAACTCGCTACACCTGCTTTGGTTAAGATAATTCATTATTATCTTCAATAGCTATGCAAAAATAGTTTCTGAGAGGTGGTTACGTAAACGTTTCCACAACAAACAGACTACTTCATCTTGTTCTTAATCTTTATTTTAACTTGGTCCTAACCTATCGAAATAGTCACCAGTTAGTTGCTACAATATCCAATATAGCCGTCATTTCCTTTCTCGACTTTCACATTTTAATACAACTTTAGGCCACTAAATTATTGTTCAAATCTCTCTTTACTTAGATTTGGGAGGTCGATTATTATCACCGTTCCTCAAAAAAAGTTGGCTTATGACAAATCCGCATTGAAGGCCGTGTTGCACCTTAGTTATTATTTATTATTATTTAAACACGTAGGTGTTGGTACAAGGAGGCACCAAATAGATATGCGCCACACAAATCTCATTTGATGTGTGAGGGCTGTGATACTGCCCGGGTGCCCAAACCGAAGCAGGTGGTTTTCTTAGTGGGCCACACCCGGAGCCTTAGACCTGAAGGACTGATCCACAAGGCAGTGGAGAATCGTAAGGAGATGTAGTCCTATGGTAGCCGGTGATCAACGATTGGTTCATACGCCATTTGTTCCTTCAGGATCCTGGAGCTCATATCCACCATTGGTTTGGAATCAGGGTTTTCCAACTCCCCTAGGTGGACCCTTCGTATCCATCAGTCCGGTTAAAGCGCTGGACATCGCTTTTCGTTCTCTCAATTTCGCAAACAACACCGCCTCTGCGAGAAGGCAGTGAGTAGGACTTCCCTGGCAGTGGTTGTATGAACGAGGCCATTTGAAAGCATTTCGAGAGGAGAGCTGACTCTCTTCACTCTCGGCTTATTAGGACATTTAAGGGCTTGTAGAATCCTAGTGAAAATACGACCTCAGTTAAAATTTCCAAGAGCTACCACTCATATTATTTATTTATTTATTTGAACACATAAATATTGGTACAATGGGACACAAGATATATATATATGCGCCACACATATATATGCTACAAGTACCATATTTCACGGAAAAATGGACCACTAGTTTGAGTTGTTTAGAGAGACGTAAACCCGTTTGGGAATGTCAAGATGATAAAAACCAGAAGTTGTAAACCTTTTGTTCTATTTTACTCTTAATTGGTTTGTTACTCGCTGTTCATGTTATTTCTCAACTCATACCCTTGCTTCTTAATATTTTTCTGTTCTTGTTGATTTGCTGCACTTTACTAGGCGTTCTGCATTCAGTTCTATCTATTATATTTGACTGATTAAGGATGCAACATTTCACTTATAGCACATAAGTGTAACCCCTTTCCTGTTCTTTGCCCTATTTATGTAGTCGCATAATTCTGCCTTTAACGGTAGATGAATACCATGTTGGACAACTGTGGGCTGTTGCAGAGGCATCCAAAAATGAAACCGGAGGCGGAGAGGGAATAGAGGTTCTGGTAAATGAACCATTTAATCCTCAAGTCAATCCTCCTGAGTCACCTTTAAAAGCCAACGGTGAAGAATTCTCCTCTGGGCAGTACACTCATAAACGCTTTTATCTGGCCAGAAAAGTACCTGGTTATGTACGTTTGCTTGCGCCAAAGGGTCACTTGAAATTGACGAAAAGGCCTGGAATGCTTACCCTTACTGTCGTACAGTTTTACAGGTATACATAAATAACTTCATACATTTTTAGAATCCTAAATATATGCAAGATAACTTTACTCTAATGATTGAGTCTATGCATATACAAGATAAAGTTAATATCGAAAATGTAAGTACTGGTTTTTAAAATAATCATATTTTATCAGATTCACAACCTTCCACCAAAGCTCTTGGCTCAACGAGAAGTTATTTATATTGATATTGTAAATGATCAATTGCATAGTGCTTCTGACTATGATGCAACATGTGACCCTAGAATATATCAGTCAGTAAAAACTGGTCGAGGTCCATTAGTAGGCCCAAGATGGTGGGAAGTTAGTATATTCGCATCTTCATTTATCTTATTTAAATAAATTGATTAGAATACAGATCTACCAATAATGTGCGCCTACAAACTTGTCACATGTGAATTTAAATGGTGGGGTATTCAAAGCCGAGTTGAAAATATGATACAGAATGTATGTTGCATGTAAACAAGATATAGGGTTGTATTTCTTACTTTCTTTTAAAATTATGTAGCAAGAAAGGCGAATTTTCCTTAATTTCAACCGTCAGGTTTTTTGTTGGCTTGATAAATGGCACGGACTTTCTATGGACGATATACGGGCTATAGAAAATAAACTAAAGAAGAATTGGATGAAGTATGTTTGTTTGGTGGATATGCATGTATGATTATATTTTTTCCCTTTTTGTTAGTCATATATTGCACGTTGTTGATCAAGATTTCTGGAAGCTTTTGTCTATTGTTTTTAAGTACGTTGTTTTCTTAGTGAATTCAGTAAAGTACAAACAATACTTGACGGAGGATCAGTATACAATTTATTTTTTCTAATATCTCAACAAATCAATTGTCTCTAATTATGAAATATACATACAGAGTAATTAGTTCTGAATAAATGATATCACTCAGTGTTTTTCACTGTTATGTACAACCAAATAAGTGAATTCTTTTAAATAATGTTTTCAAAGTATCGGTATTATCAAAAACTGACACTGAATTGTGTAACCAAACTAACATTAGTCGTAAACGATCTGTGCAGATTTAGAGGATTTTGTAAAATGTATAACTCATATTCGCTTCAGATTTAAGCTCCATAGTCGCGACCAACACTCGAAAAATATCTCATTTTAGATACCTCTAGAAGAACTCTTTTACGGTGTGAGCAAACAGGAAGTGAAAACCACCCTCATACTTCTAACAGCACTTGATACCACTGTATTCATAAATAATTTCACTCTTCAATCCCTATTATTCCTCCTACCTGGACTTTCAACTTTCTCTTTTGACTTCCTCCTCAAGCGTCATCATGACACAATTCTAGTGCGCGAAACACTGTCCCAGGTTTACTGAAACCTTGCTTCAAACTACACATTGGAGCCTTCAACGTACGCACCCTATATCCAATCGGCCAAACAGACTTCCTTGGCTAGCACCCTAAAATCTCGTACGATTGGTGTGTGCTGTGTCTCCGAACCATGCATACAAAATCGTAGTGTGGTCATTCACTTGACCTCACCTAGCCCGAACGGGGAGCCGACGAGATTCGCCCTCTGTGTATCTGGCGACTCGACAGCAAGTTATCGTGGACTGGCAGGTCTAGGCATAGTACTATGTAAGAGGACAGAAGAAGCACTTTTAGAGTGGACCTCTGCTAACAGTCGCCTTTGTGTTGGCTCCGTAAGAACTCGGAAGGATAGAGACACACGTCGTCGCCTTTTCCTCGTTTCTGTCTACGCTCCCACTGATGAAGTGAAAGATGACTCGTACATAAAGCTTTCTGAACTTTTTCTCAAAGCTAAACACTTAGACATAGTACTCGTAGCGTGTGACTTAAATGGCGAGGTAGGTGGCTTAAACCAAGCAGAAAGACATTTAGGTGGGTATTTTAGTACCCCGGTTCAGCAAACAGTTAATGGTGATCGTCTGCTGCAACTGTGTTCAGACAATCGTTTATTTTCAACAAGCACTAGGTTTAAACATAAGGATAGACATCGTCTAACATGGCGATCCCCTGCACCAAACCAACGATGGACTCAAATAGACCATATTGCCATCAGTCATCGTTGGAGAGGCTCGATAGAATACCGCTCGTTCTAGAACACATGTTTAGACTCTGATCATGCTCTAATACGAGCACGTATTTGCTTGCTCATTGGACGCAGAAGAGCCACATTAAGAGGACCCATTAGAGTTAAACTCAGCTATGAAAAAGTCCAAGGTAAATTCCAGGAGCAACTAAAGTCACACTTGGGCAATTATGAAAATGAGGCTGACCCAAATGTTGCTTGGAAAGATATACGAACAGATATGGAAACAGCAGTGACATTTATTAGTGATTTGAACCAGTGGATTTCTACTAAGTCTATTGCAATGATAGATTCTCGTAAACTCATCCCATCAGGCTCCGAACACGATGATGAGCGAAAACAAATAAGATTTAGGCCGACCAAATGTTTAAAGGACGACCGTTAGCAATGGTGGGCAACGGAAGCAAAAGAGACGAAAAAGACAGTTGTTGTAGGTAACACCAGACAGCTCTTCAGACTCCAACGAAACCGGAATTAAGAAGTCAACTGTGAGTGAGAATATCTCAGAAAAAGATGATACTCTTATCTGATCTCAGCCCAGATATTTAGAACGATGAGCGAAACACTTTATGGAACAGTTTAGCTGGCCTTCAGCTACTCTACAACTACCCACCATTCCCAAACAATCTGAATGGAACATTGAAGTAGGCCCCCGACTCTAATTGACGTACAAAAAGCCATATCTAATTTGAAACGAGGAAGAGCAGCTGGTCCAGATGGATTGCCTCCAGAGGTCTTTAAGTATGATGGTCTAGTTTTAACTGTTAGGTTGGCTAATTTTTTAGCTAAAATCTGGAAACTGGATCTAATTTCATCTGACTGGTCACAATCGCTGATTGTCCCAATATATAAGAAGTCAAAATCATCCTGTACTAACCATAGAGGGATTAGTTTGACTAACATAGCATCTAAAATACTAGCCTCAATAATTGCCGGTCGCCTAACTAAGACTCGTGAACTGCAAACACAAGAAAATCAGGCTGGTTTCAGACCTAGTCGTGGCGGTATCGACCACATATTCACCATTCGTCACATCGTGGAACACAGGCATGCTTAACGGCGTCCGACAATAATAAGTTTTCTTGACTTACAAGCAGCATTTGACTCTGCAGACCGAGAGGTTTTGTGGCAGTGTCTATCATTGAAAGGTGTACCTCAGAAGTACGTAAACCTTGTGAAACTCTTCACTCAAACGCTACCAACCAAGTCAGAGCTTATGGCAAACTGTCATTTGATTTTTCAACCTCAAGTGGCGTCCAACAAGGTTGTCTACTATCTCCATTTCTGTTTAATTTCACCATGGACCTACTGCTGGAAATAACTTTCCCGTCGACTTAATTTTCAGGAATTGATCTCATACCAGGAGGTTTACTCACCAACTTAGAATACGCAGATGATATGTTCCTGTTTGGTGAAGACTGATAAAATGCAGTCTTTTGGTAGCACTGAACAACAATGCCAGAATGTTTGGGATGAGCTTCCCCACTTATAAATGCAAGTTGTTGCTCCAGAACTGGCCTGCGTCAACAGCTGAACTAAAGATATGGAGTGCAGCAGTCGAACGCGTTGACAACTTCATTTGTCTTGGAACTTTGATCATCCCTAATGAGTTGGTGTCTGACGAAATCTCTACACAGATTCAGAAATCTCGTCCGGCTTTTACCAACTTACGTCACCCATGGCGAAGGCGAGATATCTGTCGATAATTTAGTTGGCCAGTATACTGCGCAGTAATTCGTTCTGTTTTACTTTACGGTTGCGAAAGGTGATCATTAAGAGTAGAAGATACACATAAGTTACTAGTATTCGATCACATATGTCTTAGAAATATTTCCCCCATTTACTGGGATCACCTGATAAGTAATAGTGAGGCTGGACGCAGGGTATTAGGGAATAATGGTAAATCCGTTAGTGAGGTTGTGGATCCACATCGACTGAGATAGTTGGGCCACGCATGCCCAACCACCAATTACCATGGCGCACAATGCTGACTAGTGTTGGAGACGGATAGGTGACAGTTAGGGGCGGCCAAACCAAAATGTGGCATCAGTTCTTGAAGTCACTGAATTCTGGTCTTAGCCTTCTTGGTAGATGCAGACTATTTGATTGGGGTCTGCGCGACTATCGTGACCAATGGTTGGAGACTCTGGGTGACATGACCCAGAATCGATCACAATGGCATGGATGTATACATTCTTTGTCTTCCCTTAAACCGTGAGATTAAAACTACTTCACGTCTTTCTTACTCGTTGTATCATATCCTTATATGAGATGCGTTTTTTTACATTACTACCATTGAGGTGATTACTTCTATGAATTTAATGTGCATCTTGTTGTGCTAATGAGGTATGGCAACTTGGACCGATGCATGTATTTGCCTTATTGTACGTTGTAGCTGACTTACTGGAGCTCTTCGGTAACTCTAAGGTGTTCCCTATTTTTAGTACCTTGTTAAGACTAGTAATCGCCGTCGTTTCAAAATAATTTGTGTCGTCGTTTCTCTTGTTAACTAATTAATACGTTTTTGTTAGGATTTTAACGGAGTTTGTAAGAATGTATTATACCAAGTTGTATCCTAGTTTTACCTATCGATTTTTTGTAACTACTGTTCTTAGTCTACATGACTGAACTATAAACCTTTTTCTATTTTCAGCAACGCCTTGTCGGTAGTGTTCGTGGCACTGTGGCTCATGACTAAAATACTAGCATTAATTGAAAGTGATAATTTGCTGATTTAAGCGGATTACACACTAATATATATATATATTGATGAAATATCCAAATTCTTATATTACGTAAGTTTCGTTCACTGCTATCCATTCATCGTTTTTAGTTTATACTTCTCATGACAAGTATTTCATTTTATATTGTGTCTGATTGTATCAAGTAACAATTTCGGTCAAAGTTCACCAGCTATTTTAATTAGATATTATGTCTACAGTCTTGGATACGTATATTGCTTTGTCAGTTCCTTGCAAATTCATATATAACAGTCATGTGATATGATAACAGTGATATTGACACCAAAGAAATAATTTACTATTGGACTATAAAAACAGAAATATGTCAATAAATATACATTTATGTATGATTTATAAACCATTCAGTCACCAACTAATCCCTATTAACATTCTTCATGTGTACGTTATAATTTTTTATTTCAAATTTTTACTTTGATACTTACTAATTGGTTTTATCATACTATATGTATATTGAAAATAGTACACAAGACGGCATATTAACTTGAAAATTTAATTATATTTTAAATTTGAATCGTTTCATTTACATCTCTGGATTAAATAAAATAACTTGAGATGGTAAAGTAGATAAATTTTCAAAGTGATAAATGAATCAGCTGTTAAATTTTTGTGGGATATCCAGTTGCGTATATGGTTGTTATTGGTGTTCAGTCGTGTTTATAAATTTTTTTTGTTCATAGTTGCTAAATTAGTCCGTATAAATTTCTAGGTAGAAGAATCAACTGCTACATAATGTTAAATCGAAATAGACTATACAATAGGTATAATTTTTATTTGTTGACGATAGATGAAACAAAAACATTGTAAAATGTATTCGTGGTATTGATGGGTGATGAAAGTGTTAAGGCTTTCATCTGTTTAGGCAGCTACAGCATTTATTTGGTACAAACGGTTACAGCAACTCTTAATTGATCGTCATTATGTTAACCTGTGAAGTACCTTCACTGAAAAAATATTTTTTAAAATCTTTATTTTCAATAAATTAGCTAGAATCAGTAATTTGAAGTTGATTGATATGAATCAAACACTGACAAGTCAATTTTATTGTTTATTTTATGTTGCCTTGTGTAAATATTTAGCGCAAACGTTTATGTATATAAACATGTTAGCCCATTCTATAAACAGTGCTATATAACCAATTATCTTGTTCCGATTTCCGTCCATAAACAGTTAAATCAAATCGCCTTTTTTGGAGCAAGGGACAGAGAGCTACAGAAGAAAATAAACAGTCACTATCTACCATTCAATCTTGTGAATGATTTCTTTCTTTTCCTTTGTTTTATCTCACAGTGTATGTGTGATATTCTGTTATTTTTTCTTATTACTATCAATGACAACATTCAGTGGTTTCCTATATATACATGTATGTTGTTAATTATCTAACTGCGCCAAATTCTAAGATAAATTTTTATAAATTACGTGAGAATTTCATTCCTCGGTTGATTTTTTTTCTTTTCTATCTATGTTCATTCTTTTCGTTTGTTCACTGTTGTTCATAAAATCAAAGTTTTGTTTATGACTGTATTCCTGCTTATTATTAATCTTATACTTCAGAAAAATAATGATATTATTGTTGTCATTAACTCAGTTTAACTAATATTTTTGCTGCTAAATTACTTTTTGAAATTTATTACCATACACATTCCAAAAACTTCACAAAAGGATACATGTATACATATTTGTTTTTTCTTGTGTTCCTTTTTATGTTTTCGGTGCTTGTTGTCATGTTGTTTGCTTTTGTTTTTTTTTCACCTGAAATTAAGGATTCTACTGTCATACCCAGTTGGAATCTTTTTACTCATCTCTTATTTTGTTAATATTCTGACAATTGTTGTGTTTACCTTTGATCGTCATCGTTTCTCGTCATTAATGAAGAAAATAACCAAATGAAGGTTTTTCTTAACTTAATCAATCGTTTAAATAACCTGTCCCCTCCCTATTTAGAAAAATTCGCAAACTAAAAGATAAATGATTCTGAATTATTACATCAATTTTCGTCTTTCCCTTTGTTTACTAATTTTTAATCTGTCTTGTGTGTAGGTCAGTTTATTCATTTGTCAGTCTGTGTTTAGCTTTGTAAATGATTTAATTAAAGAATGCATTGAATTATTCGTGTCGAAGTTATTAGTATCGATGTTTAATGATATTCTGTCTTCTCTTATTTTTCATGGGAAGAAGGTTGTAACAATTGCTAAAATTATATTTCTAAACTTATCAGTTCGTAATGCAATGTAGTTATTCGGATTAGTTAAGTAATGTTAACTAATTTCGCATTCATTCGCTTAGCCTTGATAAAAAATATATTCCTTAAATTATTGTATGTGTAGTAAACTAAATGACCCGATACTTCGGTTAAATGAGATAGTATTATGCATTTTTGATTGCAATTCGGAATGACATGTGCTGGAATTTCTCAGACGGATGTCTTTTTGATAAATGCTAATCTTATATGTAAGATTTGTCCAAAAGGTTTTTGGTTAATCACCTTTGTATATCAAAAGAATTAATTCACATAGTTGTTATGCCAAGTTCTACGTTTTTCATGAATAACCGATTAACATGGTTATTATGAATATTGTCATTCTTAGAATTATATCTCATAAACTAGGTTTATGCATTATGTAAAAGAAATCGAATTGTAATTATTTATATCACTGATCAAATAATGTGGTTAAATGGTATCAATAAAGTCATTTTATAAAAAGAATAATCAAGGACGAAGACCAAAACGATATTAATAAAAAAGTGGGTTAACACAGCGGTGATCCCATATCATAAAGGCATTTCAGAAGGATCCTAACTTCAAAATACAAGAGTATTCTTTCGAACAAACAATAATCTAAGACCAAAACTAGTAAGATCCGAAGATCCAATACACAAGAGGAACAACAAAATTGTGTTTATGAAATCAAATATAGTGACTGTAATGCAACATATTTAGGTGAAACATCAAGGCAACTGAATATTAGGGTGAAGGAACACAAGCTATGCTTAAAGAACATTCCTAAATCCTCGTATGACGTACGAAAACTCGAGAACGAATCAGTGATAGTATTACACTCCAAAGAATCGGGCCATGCAATTGATTACAACGGTACAAGAGTCCTTCAAAAAGGTTTTACCTCCTACAAAGAAAAGCCCTACAAATGAGCGAATCCAAACAGTATTAATAGGAGAGATGGGATACAATCAGCTGTCCGCGACAACTAATGATGAATAAGTAAACCTGAGCTCCTTATTCCATTTTACCTCTCTTATCTGGATAACAGCAATTACATTCAACAGTTCTAATCAGTTGTCTTAACTGAATATGTTAAACAATTAACTGGATCAATAAAAATGACACAAACATTCATTTACTTGGGAATCATTTAGGAATACCGATCGATAGTTCCATCATGGTCTAGGATCTTAAATGTTTTTTTTTACTCGTTTCATGTTAATTTTGGTAAACAGTTGTTTTCTTCCAAAGCTTATCAGCTTGCTCAATGTTATGACTTGGTCAGTGTTTTAAATTCATTGGTTGTTTAACTATTTATTGCAGTTTAATCACACCTCAAAATATATTATTGACCTTTATCAATAAATTCCTTTAAAATTTATATTATTGAAGCTTAAGTAATCACAGACTTCGAGCAATAGGTGTTTTGTCCATTTATGAAGATGGAGTGAAATTTATCAGTCACGCGTTCAAGTATTAAGCTTTTTGGCCAATATGAGCTGCTTCCTGATTTAGAAATTCCATTCATTGCTGACACTTACTAAGTTCATGTACCTAGAGCAGGAAGAGATTCTATGTTTACCTCTATCGATTAAGCAGCAATACTCACAGTTCTTGTGTATTTATAGATAGCCGGTTAGCTCAAATGTAGATGATCTCTAGCCAGGTTATTAAATGTATTATACACCCCAGTTAGATCACATTGTCACCGAAACTTCCATTCATCTTTTACACAAGTGATTTGTGAAGTCTCATGTTTGCTGGATTCCGTAGCTATCACAAACCTAAAGTAAATCATTTGACTTTATTGACCTGATCTGAAAGTCGACCATCATAATTATGAGTTAGTTGCACTCCTTAAAGATTACTTATTCATGTGGCTTACAAGTACTTTGGAATATTTTCTAGTAAAAATACGTTCATTTTTCCACACAATATTGATACATCAAAACTAATAAATTACTATAAGTCTACTCTTATTTTGCTACCGTTAATAAGCCGTATGCTATAAGTTGAAAGCCGTTAAAAAACCGAATTCACAGCTGCTTGATACTAAAAAAGCATACTTTTAAAAATTTCTACGTACGTAAACCACATAGGATGGCTTTTTTCATATACAAAAGAATCTTCAGAAATCGTTTTGCAAATTGATGTTGAGATTGGAGTTCTCACTTTTCTTAACCAGAAATTATTGAAGTACAAAACAATTGCAAGTGATATAAATTATTACAATAGTGTTTTATGAAAGTATAAAGTGAGACAAAGATATTATTTCTTAGTATTCATGTAGTTGATTTACAAAGTTATATGATCAAATTATAATTTAAAAATAAAATGAATGATTGACAATTTCAACTTCTATTCAAAGTAGTAGTTACATGATTTAGGATAAACGCTTGGATCACATGACGTTTGGATGATAGAAGTATGTAAAAACTTTGGATCAGATTACTAAATAAATAAAGATGATTTCTTGAAAGTCACTTTTTTATAATGTATTATTGAAATTGCTCAAATACTATTACATGTATGAGAATAGGTATCAATTAAACTTAATACTCTTAAAGTAACGCACATCAATTATGCTATGTGGTTGAAAGTAAGCAACATGGAGCTACAGCATTAATTAATAAAACATGTTTTTAGCTATAAGTGAGCTGATCACTACCGTAGGATCTGAACCCGATTCTGACTAATACTAACATTGTGATATTGTTGATTCAGTGCAATGAGCTCTAAGAACCGGATAAACATGACA